AAACCATTCAAATCACCCATCCCTGAACACATATTTCCGGTTTCCGATGCGAACTCATAAAAATGCCAGCAGTTATGGATTATTCGTGGATGTTGTTGTTACTGCTGTTGCTGTTTAAATTATTTGTCTCACACACATACAGACAATCATCATCATCATTTGAAATGTTAAAAATGAAAGTGAAACTCATTTATCAAAAAATAACTGTACAGCAAGCAGTCTCTGCAGAAAATACATTCATAATGAAATGAGATGGAACGAGAAGTTGATTTCAAATGAGAGGAGACTAAAAATCACTACAGCAACAAAAAAATATGTTCCGGTAAAATACAAACAAATTATGACCCCTCATCAATTTCATATTATAACTCTCATTCGAATGTTTGAATTGTGGGCCTACAAATGAGCCCGCATAACTATGTGTGCGATTATTATTGATGGTATGTATAACTTGTGGAAGGAGGTGGTAGTGGTGGGAACAAATATTTGCTAAAAATACTTGGTAGTGTTTGAATTTTATGCTACATACTAGAGAGATGATGATATTTTGAAGAGCGGTATTTTGCTGCTTGGTTGCTGAATTTAATAACCAAAGAAATGTATTTGAATAGTGAATCAATATGCAATGAGAGATTTTTTTTTAATTATTCTTGTATGGAAAGCAGTCGTTGTTTCAAGGTTATTGGTTGAACGGATATGTCATAATGGTTTAACGAAATTCAAAATAAAACTTTAATATTTGCTACAGTGTCCCAAAGGATAGCTGTATTGTTAAAACATATTTATTGTCTATTTTTTATTTTATAAAGCAAATAAAACAACATTGAATACAGATACATATTTTGGGACACCCTAACTCTGCGTGTATGGTACAGAGTAACTTAACAAATATTTGTCAAAGTTGGTGTGGTTACAACATGTTGTGTATCCTACATATGTAAATATAAAATGTTGGTTTACTAATTATCTCAATTTTAGATTTAAATAATCAACATTGCATAAATTGATCAAATACCAATAAATAAAACTTAGGTTTTATAAATTATTGTTTAGTACTACTTATTGTCAATTCAGTCCTCTTTCAGTTAAAGATTTCATTTCTAGTTACAGTTCTAGTTCCGTTCATTTCATTCTAGTTCAGTTCTAGTTCAGTTCTGTTCAGTTCTAGTTTCAGTTCTAGTTCAGTTCTAGTTCAGTTCTAGTTCAGTTCTAGTTCAGTTCTAGTTCAGTTCTAGTTCAGTTCTAGTTCAGTTCTAGTTCAGTTCTAGTTCAGTTCTAGTTCAGTTCTAGTTCAGTTCTAGTTCAGTTCTAGTTCAGTTCTAGTTCAGTTTTCTAGTTCAGTTCTAGTTCAGTTCTAGTTCAGTTCTAGTTCAGTTCTAGTTCAGTTCTAGTTCAGTTCTAGTTCAGTTCTAGTTCAGTTCTAGTTCAGTTCTAGTTCAGTTCTAGTTCTAGTTCAGTTCTAGTTCAGTTCTAGTTCAGTTCTAGTTCAGTTCTAGTTCAGTTCTAGTTCAGTTCTAGTTCAGTTCTAGTTCAGTTCTAGTTCAGTTCTAGTTCAGTTCTAGTTCAGTTCTAGTTCAGTTCTAGTTCAGTTCTAGTTCAGTTCTAGTTCAGTTCTAGTTCAGTTCTAGTTCAGTTCTAGTTCAGTTCTAGTTCAGTTCTAGTTCAGTTCTAGTTCAGTTCTAGTTCAGTTCTAGTTCAGTTCTAGTTCAGTTCTAGTTCAGTTCTAGTTCAGTTCTAGTTCAGTTCTAGTTCAGTTCTAGTTCAGTTCTAGTTCAGTTCTAGTTCAGTTCTAGTTCAGTTCTAGTTCAGTTCTAGTTCAGTTCTAGTTCTAGTCAGTTCTAGTTCAGTTCTAGTTCAGTTCTAGTTCAGTTCTAGTTCAGTTTCTAGTTCAGTTCTAGTTCAGTTCTAGTTCAGCCAATTTTTATTAATTTGTACTTATGTATGCCATAGTTTGGTATATCAATAAGCTTATGTAACTTTCGTCCTTAGTGTGCGATTATTCTTCTTAGTGTGTGATTACTCTTCCGACTATGTAACCTGTGGAGTACTTATTGTTGTATTAATGTTGTGTTAACTTTTATTTATTATTGCTAAAAGTAAGTGTTTAGCTGCTATATTTCATCTCATATTAGTTAAACAATCTCTGCAGTTTTTTTTCCTTTCTTTAACTGGAAATGTTATTTAGTTTGTTTTGTTAATCAATTAATCTTTCGGCCTTATAACAAACAACTTTTTATTCTAAGGAACAAATAACGTTTCATTTCGTCCTCTTTAATATTAAAGGTTAATTAATTGTTTGAAGGTTACGTTATTCAATTTGAGGCACAAAAAAATTGTTGAGGTTAATGGATGCTTGTGTAATTTTTTATGCAAAACTTTTTCAATATGATGCAATAGCTATTACAAGTATCAGTAAGTAAAGTTATATTTATACATACATACTTGAAATTCTAAATATGTTTAGTTAATTACACGATTTGGGATTTAATGAGTTGTGTGTGAGGTTGACTGAACATGAGTGTGTATTTCAAAAAGTAAGCTTTTAACATTAACTGTTGAGTATTGTTCATTTTTATATAACATGTATTTTTTTATGTATGTGTGCTTATTAAATAAATATTATCCTTTATAATTTACAAACATTAATTTTCATTTCATCAATTATGTACTCAATTTGTCAATTTTTACACAATTTAATCTAATCCTAACACACACATATTTTTTTATAAATGATTGATGATCACTGAAATGAATTAATTGTTTGTACGAATGAACTCTTGTCGTTAGACACATTTAGTGCAATTTAATTTTTTTGTTTTTTAAATTATTACCCAACGATTTAAAGTTAAGATTTGAAATTAATATACGGGAATTACTTGAAATAGACTAAATTATGGACTAGACTACAGAATAGACTATAGACTAGACTATTAACTAGACTATAGACTAGACTATAGACTAGACTAGACTATAGACTAGACTAGACTATAGACTAGACTATAGACTAGACTATAGACTAGACTATAGACTAGACTAAAGACTAGACTATAGACTAGACTATAGACTAGACTAAAGACTAGACTATAGACTAGACTATAGACTAGACTATTGACTAGACTATAGACTAGACTATAGACTAGACTATAGACTAGACTATAGACTAGACTATAGACTAGACTATAGACTAGACTATAGACTAGACTATAGACTAGACTATAGACTAGACTATAGACTAGACTATAGACTAGACTATAGACTAGACTATAGACTAGACTATAGACTAGACTATAGACTAGACTATAGACTAGACTATAGACTAGACTATAGACTAGACTATAGACTAGACTATAGACTAGACTATAGACTAGACTATAGACTAGACTATAGACTAGACTATAGACTAGACTATAGACTAGACTATAGACTAGACTATAGACTAGACTATAGACTAGACTATAGACTAGACTATAGACTAGACTATAGACTAGACTATAGACTAGACTATAGACTAGACTATAGACTAGACTATAGACTAGACTATAGACTAGACTATAGACTAGACTAGACTATAGACTAGACTATAGACTACTAGACTAGACTATAGACTAGACTATAGACTAGACTATAGACTAGACTATAGACTAGACTATAGACTAGATATAGACTAGACTATAGACTAGACTATAGACTAGACTATAGACTAGACTATAGACTAGACTATAGACTAGACTATAGACTAGACTATAGACTAGACTATAGACTAGACTATAGACTAGACTATAGACTAGACTATAGACTAGACTATAGACTAGACTATAGACTAGACTATAGACTAGACTATAGACTAGACTATAGACTAGACTATAGACTAGACTATAGACTAGACTATAGACTAGACTATAGACTAGACTATAGACTAGACTATAGACTAGACTATAGACTAGACTATAGACTAGACTATAGACTAGACTATAGACTAGACTATAGACTAGACTATAGACTAGACTATAGACTAGACTATAGACTAGACTATAGACTAGACTATAGACTAGACTATAGACTAGACTATAGACTAGACTATAGACTAGACTATAGACTAGACTATAGACTAGACTATAGACTAGACTATAGACTAGACTATAGACTAGACTATAGACTAGACTATAGACTAGACTATAGACTAGACTATAGACTAGACTATAGACTAGACTATAGACTAGACTATAGACTAGACTATAGACTAGACTATAGACTAGACTATAGACTAGACTATAGACAAGACTATAGACTAGACTATAGACTAGACTATAGACTAGACTATAGACTAACTATAGACTAGACTATAGACTAGACTATAGACTAGACTATAGACTAGACTATAGACTAGACTATAGACTAGACTATAGACTAGACTATAGACTAGACTATAGACTAGACTATAGACTAGACTATAGACTAGACTATAGACTAGACTATAGACTAGACTATAGACTAGACTATAGACTAGACTAGACTAGACTATAGACTAGACTAGACTAGACTATAGACTAGACTATAGACTAGACTATAGACTAGACTATAGACTAGACTATAGACTAGACTATAGACTAGACTATAGACTAGACTATAGACTAGACTATAGACTAGACTATAGACTAGACTATAGACTAGACTATAGACTAGACTATAGACTAGACTATAGACTAGACTATAGACAGACTAGACTAGACTAGGACTAGACTATAGACTAGACTACAGACTAGACTATAGACTAGACTAGACTAGACTATAGACTACACTATAGAATAGACTAGACTATAGACTAGATTAGATTATAGACTAGAATATAGACTAGACTATACAATATACTATTCACTAGATTAAAGACTACACTATATAGACACTTTAATATAGATTATACTAGACTTTTTTATCGTTATATTCTTTTTGTTTTTGTGATCATTCATATTTCTCCTAATATTTGTATATAATGAACTTACCTGAGATTTATTAAACAAATATTTTCTTTCCTTTGGTTAGTTACCTGTAAGAATAAACAAATTAAATTTATTTTTAAAAAAATTACCCAATTCTCATTAAGTACAATTGTTATTTTTCTTAGATTTTGTGTAAGGAAAATATTATTTTGCATATTTATTATAAAAATTTTGTTTTTATTGTTTTTGTTATTATCCTATTTACAAATGAATATTGAAGTTTGTTTTTCTATTGTTTTGTTTTGATTTATTTTTGAAAAGAATCAAATAAACTTGAAGTAGTTAAAATGCATTATTACTTTTGCAATCAACATATCTATACTTGTTGTAAATATTGCAAACTATTTTTAAGGGAATCTTGACTACAACTTCTCTAAAGGCTTTTACTTTAGTTGTCAAGAAAAAAAAAATGATTTATTTAAAAGATAAAAAGAAGTCAACCTACAGGATTGCAATATACTACTGCTACACATTGAAAATGGTTTAGTTGCAACAACGATGACATCAGTAGAGTCTTTTAGTTGTAGCAAAAGTTTCAACCGAAACAGTTTTCTCTGTGTATTTAAAAATTTAAAAACCGAACAATTTTAATTTCTAAGGAACTCATATAAGATTTTGAATAGATTACTACAGACATTACTTGACAAAGTAAAAAATAAATTATTTTAATTGTTTTTTTAATACTTTTAAGCAGATTAAAACTTTTTGAATATTTTACTAAAAAAACAGCAAAAAAAATAAATTAAATCCTTTGTAAAACATTATAGTCAATTAAAATTTTACCTCAAACCCCAAAAAAGTGTAAAGTTTCCTACATAAATCAAAAGTTTAAAACTTAAACGTTCACATGCAAACTCCTTATACACCTCTACAAAGACAATTTTACACACACACACCATTATCTTAACTTCCTGTTTCATCTTTGGGTTGTGTTTCATAATAATCTTACTAATACAAAAAACATTTCTTTACTGAAATTAAATTATTAAAAATTTAAAAAAATCAAGCTTGAAAAATTTTCATAACAATATGCAAATTGTTGTCACAACTAAAGGACACTTAAGGAATTTGTAACAAAATATCAGTTTAACACATTTGTATGAACAGAAAATTTAAAACATACATAAAGCGGACAAAATTATAAAAATTAAAATAAATTGCACTGAACGAATAGCAACAGCAAAGGGGAACAGAAAGAGGATAAAAAAACATATAAAATTAAATAGCTGGAAAATTTTGCACAGCAAATGAAAACAGAAAAAAACGTTAAATAAATGATGAAAGCTTAAAACCATACAGGAGAATATTAAGCAGAGCAAATTTAACAAAAAATGTTTTAAATAAATATTCATGAAAATTTTAAAAATAACGTTATTGTGTTTGAAGAAAAATTATTATAGAAAAAGTTAAAGGATTTAAATGAGATGTTTGAAAATGAATTTATAGGAATCCTATCTATAGTCCGGTCTATACTCTAATCTATGTTCTAGTCTATAGTTTGGTTTATAGTTTGGTCTATAGTTTGGTCTATAGTTTTGTCTATAGGCTGGTTTGTAGTTTGGTCTATAGTTTGGTCTATAGTTTGGTTTATAGTTTGGTCTATAGTTTGGTCTAAAGTCTAGTCTATAGTCTAGTCTAGTCTATAGTCTAGTCTATAGTCTAGTCTATAGTCTAGTCTATAGTCTAGTCTATAGTCTAGTCTAGTCTATAGTCTAGTCTATAGTCTAGTCTATAGTCTAGTCTAGAGTCTAGTCTATAGTCTAGTCTATAGTCTAGTCTACAGACTAGACTATAGACTAACTTTAGACCAACTATAGACCAAACTATAAACCAAACTATAGACGCAAACTATAGACCAAACTACAAACCAGCCTATAGACAAAACTATAGACCAAACTATAGACCAAAACTATAAACCAAACTATAGACTAGAACATAGATTAGAGTATAGACCGGACTATAGATAGGATTCCTATAATTCATTTTCAATATATATAGTCTAGTCTATAGTCTAGTCTATAGTCTAGTCTATAGTCTAGTCTATAGTCTAGTCTATTCGTCTAGTCTATAGTCTTAGTAGTCTAGTCTAGTCTATAGTCTAGTCTATAGTCCTAGTCTATAGTCTAGTCTATAGTCTAGTCCTATAGTCTAGTCCTATAGTCTAGTCTATAGTCTAGTCCTATAGTCTAGGTCTATAGTCTAGTCTATAGTCTAGTCTATAGTCTAGTCTATAGTCTAGTCTATAGTCTAGTCTTAGTCTAGTCTATAGTCTAGTCTATAGTCTAGTCTATAGTCTAGTCTATAGTCTAGTCTATAGTCTATCTATAGTCTAGTCTATAGTCTAGTCTATAGTCTAGTCTATAGTCTAGTCTATAGTCTAGTCTATAGTCTAGTCTATAGTCTAGTCTATAGTCTAGTCTATAGTCTAGTCTATAGTCTAGTCTATAGTCTAGTCTATAGTCTAGTCTATAGTCTAGTCTATAGTCTAGTCTATAGTCTAGTCTATAGTCTAGTCTATAGTCTAGTCTATAGTCTAGTCTATAGTCTAGTCTATAGTCTAGTCTATAGTCTAGTCTATAGTCTAGTCTATAGTCTAGTCTATAGTCTAGTCTATAGTCTAGTCTATAGTCTAGTCTATAGTCTAGTCTATAGTCTAGTCTATAGTCTAGTCTATAGTCTAGTCTATAGTCTCTATAGTCTAGTCTATAGTCTAGTCTATAGTCTAGCCTATAGTCTAGTCTATAGTCTAGTCTATAGTCTAGTCTATAGTCTAGTCTATAGTCTAGTCTATAGTCTAGTCTATAGTCTAGTCTATAGTCTAGTCTATAGTCTAGTCTATAGTCTAGTCTTATAGCTAGTCTATAGTCTGTCTATAGTCTAGTCTATAGTCTAGTCTATAGTCTATTCCTAGAGTCTCATAGTCTAGTCTATAGTCTAGTCCTATAGTCTAGTCTATAGTCTAGTCTAGAGTCTAGTCTATAGTCTAGTCCTATAGTCTAGTCTATAGTCTAGTCTATAGTCTAGTCCTATAGTCTAGTCCTATAGTCCTAGTCTATAGTCTAGGTCTATACGTCTAGGTCTATCGTCCTAGTCCTATAGTCTATAGTCTAGTCTAGTAGTCTAGTCATAGTCAGTCTATATCTAGTCTATAAATCTAGTCTATATGTCTAGTCTATAGTCTTCTTAGTCTAGTCTATAGTCTAGTCTATGTTCTAGCTATAGTCTAAGGTCTATAGTCATTCTATAGTCTAGTCTATAGTCTAGTCTATAGTCTAGGTCTATAGTCTAGTCTCTAGTCTAGTCTATAGTCTAGTCTATAGTCTAGTCTATAGTCTAGTCTATAGTCTAGTCTATAGTCTAGTCCTAGAGTCTAGTCTATAGTCTAGTCTATAGTCTAGTCTATAGTCTAGTCTATAGTCTAGTCTATAGTCTAGTCTATAGTCTAGTCTATTCTAGTCTATAGTCTAGTCTATAGTATAGTCTATAGTCTAGTCTATAGTCTAGTCTATAGTCTAGTCTATAGTCTAGTCTATAGTCTAGTCTATAGTCTAGTCTATAGTCTAGTCTATAGTCTAGTCTATAGTCTAGTCTATAGTCTAGTCTATAGTCTAGTCTATAGTCTAGTCTATAGTCTAGTCTATAGTCTAGTCTATAGTCTAGTCTATAGTCTAGTCTATAGTCTAGTCTATAGTCTAGTCTAAAGTCTAGTCTATAGTCTAGTCTATAGTCTATAGTCTAGTCTATAGTCTAGTCTATAGTCTAGTCTATAATCTAGTCTATAATCTAGTCTATAGTCTAGTCTATAGTCTAGTCTATAGTCTAGTCTATAGTCTAGTCTATGGTCTAGTCTATAGTCTAGTCTATAGTCTAGTCTATAGTCTAGTCTATAGTCTAGTCTATAGTCTAGTCTATAGTCTAGTCTATAGTCTAGTCTATAGTCTAGTCTATAGTCTAGTCTATAGTCTAGTCTATAGTCTAGTCTATAGTCTAGTCTATAGTCTAGTCTATAGTCTAGTCTATAGTCTAGTCTATAGTCTAGTCTATAGTCTAGTCTATAGTCTAGTCTATAGTCTAGTCTATAGTCTAGTCTATAGTCTAGTCTATAGTCTAGTCTATAGTCTAGTCTATAGTCTAGTCTATAGTCTAGTCTATAGTCTAGTCTATAGTCTAGTCTATAGTCTAGTCTATAGTCTAGTCTATAGTCTAGTCTATAGTCTAGTCTATAGTCTAGTCTATAGTCTAGTCTATAGTCTAGTCTATAGTCTAGTCTATAGTCTAGTCTATAGTCTAGTCTATAGTCTAGTCTATAGTCTAGTCTATAGTCTAGTCTATAGTCTAGTCTATAGTCTAGTCTATAGTCTAGTCTATAGTCTAGTCTATAGTCTAGTCTATAGTCTAGTCTATAGTCTAGTATATTGTCTAGTCTCTAGTCTAGTCTCTAGTCTAGTCTCTAGTCTAGTCTCTAGTCTAGTCTCTAGTCTAGTCTCTAGTCTAGTCTCTAGTCTAGTCTCTAGTCTAGTCTCTAGTCTATAGTCTAGTCTACAGTCTAGTCTTTAGTCTAGTCTATTGTTTTGTATATAGTCTAGTCTATACTCCAGTATATAGTCCAGTCTATGGTATAGTGTAGTCTATAATTTGAACATTCCCTTTTTAGGTATTTCTGTTTTGTTCAAAATTTGTTATTTTATTTAGCTTTACACATATACAACATATGTATGTGTATACTTTCTTATGTATAAAATTATTTACATGAAAATTTACTTACAAACCTTAAAGCATACCATTAGGCGATTTTACTTTACTCAAACTACTTTAGGGCTGTAGAAAATTCCTTTACTTTGACAACTTTTTGCATAAAACATATGAACAGTTGTTTTAAAACAAGTTTGACATAAACAGTTTAGTTAATTTAAACACAACTTGTAAAACAACTTCCTAGATTTGACACACATACTTTATGATGAAATTGTTTAAAATTTTTCTTAGAATTTCTTAAAATATACAACAAAATAATAAAAAAAGTGGAAATTTATGATGTGTATTTATA